TGCCAAGGTATAGCCTTTTGGCTGCAGGCTCTCAGCTGCTGCTGCAATGTCTGTGATTTCTTTTTTGGGCCCTGGGGCTGGAGCTGAATCATTGTCTCCATCACCACCATTATCATCATCCTGCTTCAACAGGTACTCAACGCCAAAATCTTCCTCCTGGATTACTGAAGTTTCCCTCCTTTCCTCCTCAAGGGCATCCTCTACTTCACTTTCCTCTTGCTCACTTTCTTCTATCTCTTCTGTGGAATCTGGAGGCAAAATCAGCAACATCGGGACAAAGCTGTCCTACGTAAGCCCATTAACTATTGGACCAAACATGCTCTAGACCTCAGACCAAGCAGCTGGCTGCTTTCAATCAATGATTTACAATGGCTTAGACCTATATATTGCTTTTCTACCTAAGAAATCACTCATCACAAGCTCCTGTTTTCATTGACAAATCCAACACATTGTTTTTAGACCAGCAGTTTTGCAAAGTATCAATTTGGAGAATTAAAAATGTCCAAACAGTTAAAAAATCCATTCAGCTTTGATATCATGCAAAAACATTCATTTACATCAGGATTGCAAAATCTTTTCCCCTCCAAAATGTAAAACTTCAACTCTCAACAATTCTAACCAGCATCGATTGTATTAAGGTGCAATCCGCATTTTCAATTGCTCAACCCCGAAATGATCATTGACTTACCTGAACGCTTCTATGTGTGCTGCGAGGGGAATCCAAGCATGGGTTAACTTTATCCATTAGCCTAGAGACTGAGTTATGTAATTGTTGACCATGAGCCAATGAGGTAAGTAAGTCGATCCAATGTCAATAGTCAAGAGACCAGTAGCAATAGCAGTGAAATGAAGTCTGATGTCAATGGCCGGACCAGCCGAAGCTGAGGGCAGGTTTTGATTCCCCTCACAATGAACATAGGACCGTTCAGGTAAGTCAACGGTCTTTCTCCTATGTGCTGCTTGGAGAATCCAAGCATGGGACATGCCAAAGCAATGAGAGTCAAGGGCGGGAGCTAGGCTGGTCAGGGGCCCAGGTGGCGAGAGCACCCTCTGCAAGACTCGCCGTCCGAAGGAGGCCTTAGCCGAGGCATACATGTCCATTTTGTAGTGTCTGATAAAGGGTGACGGCGATGACCAGGTTGCTGCCCTGCAAATGTCCTCCACTAATGCCTGCGTTGCCCAGGCTGCTGTGGTAGCCGCACTCCTGGTGGAATGGGGAATGATGCATCTGGGAACCGGCTGGGATTGATTGTCATAGGCAAAGGTGATGCACCCTTTCAACCAGCACCTTCTGTCCCATGGATGATGGCTGAAAGGACACAAACAGTGCCTCCGATCTTCTGAATGCTACAGTGCGTTTTACATTCTGGCGAAGCGCCCTGCGAATGTCAAGGTGATGCCACAGACGTTCCTGTGGATGTGATGGGCGCGGGCAGAAGTCTGGGAGAATGAGCTCCTGTGGCCTGTGAAACCAAGTGTTAATCTTTGGAAGGAACGCCGGGTCCAACCGCAAGGATGAAAGATACAGAGGTCCGCACAGATCGACAGTGCCTCCAATTCCGACACCCTCGTGGCCGATGTATGGCCACCAAGAAAACAGTTTTGAGGGTCAGCAACATGAGACTGATCGTGTGAATGGGCTCAAATGGCACAGCTGTGAGGGCTCTGAGTACCAGGGACAAGTCCCAGGTAGGGTAGCAATGCACTACCAGTGGCCTGAGGTTTGTTGCGCCCTTCAGGAATGAGCGGACCCTTAGGTGCTGTGTCAAAGAACGGCCCTGCCCGGCACCAATCACCGTTGATAAGGTTGCAACTTGGGGGTGGAGAGTGCTGGGTGTCAAGACCCTTATCTAAGCCCATCTGCAAAAATTCCAATACTTGTGGCACAGACGTCTTGATTGGGTCAACGCCGGCTGTCCGACACCATCTGCAGAAGGTCTGCCAGGTGGCCTCGTAGATACAAGTCGTGGATGGGCATCATGCCACCTGAATTGTGTCGATGACCTTATCTGAAAAATGTTGTTGAGTCAAGATAATCCACTCACGTGCCACGCAGCTAACAGCAGCAGTTAAGGGTTTGGGTGAATGAGAACCCCCTGGGAGAGGTGGATCTGATCGTCCGGGATTCTCCAAGGTCGTGAGACAGAGAGATGAACGAGGTTCACTGTTCTGCTTGGATTTTCTGAACGACAAGCGGGATGATGGATAGAAGTGTAAAGGTGTAAAGAAGGCCCTCCGGCCAAGGATTGCGGAGTGCGTCGATGCCTTCCGCCCCGGTGTCAGGTACCTGGTGTAAAACCATGGCAGCTGGTAGTTGTGAGGCTGCACAAAGAGGTCCATGTCAGGCCGGCCAAACCTGCAAGAGTTCCTGGAATAGAGTAGGATGGAGGCACCACTCCGCCTGGTCTATAGTAGTTCTGCTCAGCCAATCCGCCTGCGTGTTGGTTGCACCTGATATGTGCTCTGCTCGGATTGACAGCAACCGGTTCTCTGCTCAGTGGTGGAGTCTCTCCGCTTCCATCATCAGGGACTTGGACTGCGTGCATCCCTAGCGGTTGACATGAGGCTTGGAGGCCACGTTGTCGGTGAGAATTAGTAGTGGTTGTTCGTCACCAAGTTCCGGAATTCATGGAGGGCTAGGTGGATGGCCCACAGCTCTAGCCAGTTGATGCTGTTCCTTAATTCCTGGTCCGTCCAGCGACCTTGCGTGACTTGGTCCGAGGCGTGGGCTCCCCATCCCAAAAAGCTCGCATTCGTCGTTACCCCGATGTGGTCTGGCTCCTTGAAGAGGCATGCCCTGAGTAGCTTGGAGGATGTCCACCACCTAAGAGACCGTAACACCTTGGGTGGTAACTGGACTCTGATTTGTGAGTGACTGGTATAGGCCGTCTGGAAGGGGAGCAAAAACCATTGGAGCGGGTGAGCATGGAATCGCGCCCAGGGAACAATGTCTATACACAATATCATTTTCCCAAGCAGCTGGGAAAGAATTGCCAGCGGCAAGGATCTCTGCGACATCACGTGACTCACCAGGATGTGTAGGCTTTGTCGCCTCTCCTGAGACAGGATACCTCGCAACTCTCCGAGTTGATGACTGTCCCGAAGTGCAAGAGAGACGTAGTTGGCTGCAGGTGACTCTTTGGAAAGTTCAAGATGAAGCCGTGCCGCTACAAGGTGTCCATTGTGCACTGCAGGTCTTGAACTGCCTAGTTCTGGGATGATGATAGGACCAAGATGTTGTCCAGGTAGCAATTGACTCTTATGGGTATTGAACGAAGAGAAGCGGCTATGACTGCCAGCAGCTTCGTGAAGGTCCGTGTTTGGAGAGCCAGGCATCTGAGGTGGTTTCTGCCATTGGTGAGCGAAGGCTGTTAACCGCCCAATAGGTCCCACCAATGTGAGTCACCGGTATCTATGAAAGGACCGGTTGTTGCATCCACGAAATGGCTACCAGCCCCGAGACTGATTTTGGATCTGCTGGCAGCCTCTATCCGGTAGATCCACCAGTAGCGGCCTTGATTCCCCAGCTTTAATTCCGTCCGAAATTTCGGAAGGTCTTAAAGCGGAGGACTGCAAGGCCGAATTGGTCTTCCACAAGACCACCAGGCAGCTGCCTGGGCTTTACGGGCTGCTAAGGTGGCCTCGTTTTTCAATAGGACTTCATTTGTCTGGCTTAGGCAGCTAAAGTGCAGGTTTGCCCCTGATGATATGCGCCTCCACCAGGATGTCAACAAACTGGTAGCCGCTACTGGTGGATCTACCGGAGGGAACTGAAGGATGCTATCCAGTTCTGGCATGGAAGTATAAAGTTTTCTGTCCCCGTTACTGGGTGGGGGAACAGCAGTTGGTTGCATCCATTGTTTTTGGACAACGTCAAGAAACAATTTCGGAAAGGGGATGACATCCTGTTCCTGCATCTGTTCCGCAAACAGACGTTCCGTAGAATCAAGCCCCACTGCTGTACTAGACTGAGTGATGGCACCCCCCATGTTGGTAGTGGCCTTTGCCTTGTACAAGAGGGACTTAAATAACGCTGGATGAAACAAACCAGAAGAGGTAGGTTTGTCCTGTGCTAGGCCCTCGTCATCCCAAAATTCTATGTCCGCCACTTCTCCCTCCTCGCCTAACACCGAATCCTCGCTGTAGACCAAGGGTAGGGGTGATGGGGGGTCCACCTGGCGGGTGGACAGGTCCCTAGGCAAGGTTGCTGGTCTGGACAATTGGGCCCTGCGATGCAATTCTGCATCTACACCCTGTGAGATGGCAGCTGAAATCATTTGATAACACTCAGGGGGAAGGCCGAACTCATGGCCTTCCTCAGTTCTGAGGCCTGCAGCCGTGGGTGCAAAAGTACCCAAGGGCCTTGTGCACGAGGCGCTTGGGCCGAGGCTGGACTGATTTCAGAAAGGCTGGGGGTGATTGGGTCATCAATTCCCCCTCCTCAGATGCCATTCCCTGGGGGAAAGGGAAATCAGGAGACCAACCGTGGGTGCCTGTCAGGTGCAGGGAAGAAACGGGGGAAGGCCCTTGGGTGACTTGCATGGGAGGTGACCTACTTGTGGCCACAGTGGCCTTGGACGAAGGCCTGAACTTTGTGTTTGGCGGCCCTATCCGGTGCCGCAGACGAGGTGTGAGGTCTCTGACTAGAGGCCCTAGTGGTGGCCCTGCCTGCCCTAGCGCTGGCCTCTGTGGCGTTGGAAGGAAGCGGGAAAACATTAGAAGCCCCAGCACTGCCTCCGGAGAGGGACTGAACCCCCATAGGTACAAACGGGGAGAATTGAAAGGCTCAATCTCACAGCTAAATACAGAGCAATTGCGCAGCTATAAATAGTGAAGCTGCCTCTGTCTGCTGAAAAGAACTACTGCGTGTGCCAAAAGGAGCAGCGGCGCACCGACCTCCTCGAGCAAAAAGAGTAAAATCATTGGTGTACCGCCGCAATTCAGGCACGAACTGCCAGACATGCCCCTTCCGGCCGCTCATCAGCGCGCAACCAAACGGCTTCAAAAATGGTGACTGCCAGTACAACCGGCAGAAATTCAAACCAAAGGCTCCAACGGCCGCTGACCCACCAGAGTCCTCCAGCGATCTAGGAATCGCGGCAGCAATGCGATGAAAAACCTCTGTGGGATTGACCATGCTAGCACTAGCGGGTCGTGTCCTCCCCAACAGGTGCAGGAGTGGCGAACCGACTCCCAACCGCGGTAATCAGCGAATGTAGAGTGGCGAACATGCTCTCAACCGCAACATGAAGGTAAGACAAACTGCATTCAAACAAATCTTTCGCGGCGATAATTTCCCCCCTCCGGCCACTAGAGCCTTTGGGAAATTGCTAGACGTGCCAAATGGTCTCAAGTTTGACAGCGAACTGTCGCCTGTCAGATTCAGCCGGGCACAGAATCGCACTTGCTTCCTTCTCAAAACAGTCAAATAAGGCAACGAGGAATCCAGAAGAATGAATTAATTTGTCTAATAGTCCTAGAGCAAATTGTTTTACGTCTCTTTAGGCTGGACTGAATTTAAAAACTGGACTATCCAGTCAGAGGAGGCGTGGTCAACAATTATGTAACTCAGTCTCTAGGCTAATGGGCAAAGTTAACTCATGCTTAGATTCCCCAAGCAGCACACAGGAGAAATACAGGAATAACTATAGTTGTGTATTTTCAGGGGTCGCTCCTCTTCCTTCCATACCTGAGTGACTAGTGCTGTTCTCCTCCTCTGATTCTTCCTCATACTCTGAAGTAGTAGGCTCCAGTGCCTCCGATGAAGTGTCTGATGCTTCCACTTCAAAGTCTGAAGCATAAGCACCAGCATATTTCTGAAGCAAATCCTCCATGGGCAGTTCACCTATGAAGTCCAAAAGAACTTGTCTTAGGGCCAATAGAACCTAAACGAGTTTGATCTCTCTGACCTCATCTGCTTATGTTGAAGTTATCTTCCCTTTATGAAGTGGGAAAGTTTCGAAATGACTTATCAACCGCAACTAGAGGCTATGTTTTAACCCTACCAAATTCTAACCTCAAGACATACAGTCTCTGTATTGGTGCTTAATCTGGCCCTTGTTCCTTCAACAAATTCTAGGGATTATGGTTCATGGATCCAGCAAACATTCAGAAACACAATTCAGTAATTATTGTTCTGAAGGATCATGGAATCCCTCATAATCCTCATTTGCTTTCCCAGGCTACAATCTCTGTTCGAACCTTCCTTAGCCAGATCATCCAATTCTTCGCTGTGATCAACATTTCCTTCCAGCTTTTCTTCAGCATCTATTGTTTCTTCTTCATCTTCAGCTGAGAGAGAAAGGATTACCTATGTTACTGGATTGCAATCCTAACCTCATCCCGATTCTCATTACATTCAGTCAATCAATGACCCACAAAACATGCTTACCTTCTTCTTCATTGGCCGTAAACTCCTCATCTTCTTCATCAGGTTTCCAAGGTTTCTTATTCCTCTGAGTGACAGGTTTGGGTTTTTCCTGCTGAGTAGAAGAGGGGGAAAGACTTCAAGAGACAGATAGCAACAGGAAACTCTCCACTGCACATAGCATATAACAGTAGGACAGAATATTGAAATTTAAAAGAGATCTTTTTAAAAAAACTTTTATTTTAAATCACATATGTAATTGATGCTTCTTGGCAAATATCAATTGTGGAGACCAGATAAATAGCAATACCATTTAGAGTTATTTACTGCTTTACAACCCTCTCTAAAGGGTTTACAGAGTCAGCATATTGCCCTCAACAATTTGAGTCCTTATTTTATCAACCTTGGAAGGATGGAAGGCTGAGTCAACCTGGAGCTGGTGAGAATCAAACTGCTGGCAGTCAGCAGAATTAGCTGGCAATACTGCATGCTAACCACTGTGCCACCCCAGTGCAGTATGACTTTAAAAACGGAGAGGTTGGATTCTTTTAATCCCAGCCTATAAATACATAGCGCCCTATCTTCTCTGCTCAAGATTTGACTTGAAGGATACCTTTAGTGTCTCAGAGGTCTGACTTTCCTCATGCTCAGCTTCCTCTTCACTCTCACCCTCTTCTTCTTCATCATCATTGTCAGAGCTGGAAGCACAAGGAGATTCACTGAAGGAATTTTCTAAGATTTGGGGTGGCAATGTCTGGAGTAGCTCCTCTAAGGGCAGTTCACTTTCCTGCTTTAGCAGCTCAATCTCCCGCAGCTGTGTTTCTGAATCATTCCCTTCCTGTTGTTCCTCAACTTCAATTGTCTCCTCGTCATCTGACTCTTCATGGGGTTGGAAATCCCCATCTGCCAGAGAAAAAGGATCAGCTGCAACATCTTTCAAATCACAAAACCAACTTTAGATTTGGGGATTGGGAATGGATCCCATCCCTAGGAAGCGAATACACTTTCTAACAAAGCAAATGTCTTTCAGTGGGAAGGTGTGGTTTGAGATAGAAGCCATACTAAGTGGGTCACCAAACTCAAAGAACA